TCAGATTTATTGTTTGTGTATAGGAAGGCTACTGACTTTTGCGTTTTGATTTTGTATCCTGCCACTTTACTGAACTGATTGATTAGTTGAATTCGTTTTTCTGTGGAGTTTTTGGGGTTCTCTATGTATATTATCATATCATCTGCAAATAGTGATAGTTTGACTTCTTCTTTTCCTATTTGGATTCCTTGTATGTCTTTCTCTTGTCTTATTGCTCTGGCTAGGACATCCAGTATTATATTGAAAAGCAGTGGTGAGAGTGGACATCCTTGGCTTGTTCCAGATCTTAATGGAAATGCTTTCAACTTTTCAACATTAAGAATGATAGTGGCTGTTGGCTTGTCATATATGGCCTTTATGATGTTGAGGTATGTTCCTTGTATCCCAAGAATTTCAAGGGCTTTTTTCATGTATGGGTGTTGTACTTTGTCAAAAGCTTTCTCAGCATCTATTGATATTATCATATGGTTTTTATATTTTTTTTCGTTGATATGTCAGATAACGTTGATTGATTTTCAGATGTTGAACCATCCTGTGTCCTGGCATGAATCCTACTTGGTCGTGGTGAAATTATCTTATGGATACATTGTTGGATTCTGATAGCTAAAATTTTATTGAGGATTTTTGCATCAGTGTTCATTAGAGAGATTGGCCTGTAGTTTTACTTTTTTGTGTTGTCCTTGTTCAGTTTTGGTATTAGTGTAATGTTGGCTTCATAGAACGTGTTTGGTATTGTCCCTTCCTTCTCAATTTTTTGGAAGAGTTTGTGAAGGATAGGCACTAATTCGTCTCTGAATGTTTGGTAGAATTCATTTGTAAATCCATCAGGTCCTGGGCTTTTGTTTTTGGGGAGGTTTTTGATTACCATTTCAATTTCGCTAATTGTAATTGGTCTGTTTAGGTGTTCCATTTCTTCTTTATGTAGCTTTGGGTGATTGTAGAGTTGTAGGAATTTGTCCATCTCCTCTAGATTGTTGAACTTGTTTCCATATAACTGTTCATAGTAGTTATTGATTATTCTTTTGATTTCTGCTGTGTCCATTGTGATTTCTCCTCTTTCGTTTATGATTCTGTTTATTTGTGCTTTCTCCCTTTTTTCCTTTGTGAGCCTGGCTAGGGGTTTATCTATTTTATTTATTTTTTCGAAGAACCAGCTCTTGGTTTCATTGATCTTTTGGATTGTTTTTTTAGTTTCGATTTCATTTATTTCTGCTTTGGTTTTTATTATTTTCTTTCTTCTACTGGTTTGGGTTTTTTTGTTGTTCTTTTTCTAGATCATTGAGCTTCGAGATTAGGTTGTTTCTTTGAGTTCTTTCTTGTTTCTTGATGTGAGCCTCTATTGCTATATATTTTCCTCTTATTACTGCTTTTGCTGCATCCCATACATTTAGGAAATTGGTGTCCTCCTTGTCATTCAATTGAAAGAATTTTTTAATTTCTTCTTTCATCTCCTCATTAGTCCAGTGGTCTTCTAGTAGTGTAGTTTTCAATCTCCATGAGGTAGGAGAGTTCCTTACCTTCTTTTAATGGTTTATTTCTAGTTTGATGCCTTCATGGTCAGAAAAGATGGTTGGTATGATTTCAATCTTGGTGTATCTGTTGATGTTTGTCCCAATTGTGATCCCAATGATCTGTGTGAGAAAAATGTGTACTCCTGGGAGTGAATGATCTGTGTGCACTTGAGAAAAATGTTTACTGCTATTTTTTTTGGTTTTAGTGTACAGTCTACTGCTAGATGTCTGTTCGAACAGCCGCAGAGGCCGCGCGCAGCCTCGCAACCCAGTGCTCAACCGCTGCGCCACCGGGGAGGCCCTCTAGGTCCTTATTTAGAGCTTTAGTGTCTTTACATATTTTTTGTCTTGTTGATCTATCCATTGCTGTTAGTGGTGTGTTGAAGTCTCCCACTATGTATATGTTTTCTCTGATGTCTGTTTTCAGAGATGTCAATAGTTGTCTGATATATTTTGGTGCTCCTTCTTTTGGTGAATATATGTTAATGAGTGTTATTTCTTCTTGAAGTATTGTCCCCTTGAGCATAATGTAGTGACCATTGGGATCTCTTTTTACCTTTTTGAGTTTGAAATCTGTTTTATCTGATATAAGTATAGCTGTTCCTGCTTTCTTTTTTGGTCCATTTGCTTGTAGGATTGTTTTCCATCCTTTAACTTTCAGTCTATTTTTATCTTTTGTAGCTAAATGTGTTTCCTGGAGTCAGCAAAAGGTTGGGTTTTGTTTCTTAATCCAGCTTGCGACTCTGTGTGTTTTTATTGAAGAGTTTAGTCCATTTATATTTAGGGTTAATATTGATATGTTAGCATGTGTATTTGCCATTGTGTTTGTCTTTCCTTTGATTTTATTTATTTATTCTTTTAATAACTTTTTTTTTTGGCTTTCTTTTGTTGCTATTCGTCCCTCTGAGGTTCTGGCTTTAGGACTCCTTGTAGTATTTTTTGGAGTGGGGATTTAGTTGTAATGAAATTTCAGAGTTTCTGTTTGTCTGGGAAGGTCCTTATTCTTTCTTCATAGAGGAAGGAGAGCTTTGTGGGATAGAGTATTCTTGGTTGGCATCTGTTTTCTTGGAGTCTGTTGACTATGTCCCTCCACTCTCTCCTTGCCTGTAGTGCTTCTTTGGAGGAGTCTGATGTCAGCCTGATTGGTTTTCCTTTGTATGTTATCTGTTTCTTCCCTCTTGTCAGCTTCATTATTTTTTCCTTGTCCTGGATTCTTGGGAGCTTTACTATTATGTGTCTTGCTGTTTTTTTCCTTTCGTCGTGGAAGTTTGGTGTTCTTCTTGTTTCTTGTATATCAATTTTCATCTCCTTCTTCATGTTTGGGAAGTTCTCTTCAATTATCTCCTTGAATATTTTCTCTGTTCCTACATATCTCTCCTCTCCTTCTGTTATTCCTATAACTCTTGTATTTCCTTTCCTCATGGAGTCAGATAATTCCTGAAGTTGTTCTTCTGTCTTTTTCCTTCATACTTCTCTTTCCTTTTCTGTTTTGGTTCTTTTTATTTCTGTGTCTTCAAGAGTGCTTATTCATTCTTCCATTTCATCTATTCTGCTTTCATTGCTTTTCCCAGAGTTCTTAAGTGCCTCCATTAATTCTTTGATCACCTGCATTTCTTTTACTTCCCTCTTTATGGACTCAATTTCATTCTTCTAATCGTTGATTATTTTTCTGTTATCATTGTTTTCCTTTATGAGTTCTGTCATTTTTTTAATCATGGCAATTTGAAGTTCTCTTTCTGGAAGGCTCAGAAGTTCTTTCAAATTACTGTTGTTGCAATCTGGGGGTGGTTTTCTTTTTGAGGTGTGCTTTTTTCCTGAGGAGTTGCTAGGTTGCGTGTGGTTCTTCTTCCTACAGTCTGTTTTCTAATTTGCTGTATGCATTGGGACACTGTGTTGCTGGGACTGGCCGGCATCTTGGGTGAACTTCTCCGCTCCCCTCTAGCTCCTCCGGGAGCCATCTGTCGGTTTCAAGCAGTCTTTACTGAAGAAAGGTCCCTGTTCTAAAATGGCGATGAGGGGACACACTCCCCTGCATGCCTGGTCTGCCCCGGCGGTGGGTTCCCGCTCCCACTCTGGGCTCGGACTGCAGGCCAGAAGGGGCCTGGAGTGGGCGAAATTCCCTGTTCCCCTCTGGCCCCTCAGGGAGCCTTCTGCTAGTTTCAGGCAGTCTTTACTGGAGAAATGTCCCCAGTGAAAATGGCGATGCAGGACGCACTCCCCGCGTGCCCGGTCTCGGGCACACTCTTCTCTGCCCCCCGTCTGCCCCGTCTGCACCCCCGGTCTGCCCCGTTCCCCCTCTGGGGTTGTACTGCTGGTCAGATGGGGCCTGGCATGGGCGAACTTTCCAACTCACCACTGGCTCCTCCAGGAGCCTTCTGCCATTTTCAAGCAGTCTTTTCTGAAGAAAGGTCCCTGTTCTATGGGGTGTGGTGATTTTCTTTTCTGGTCGCTAGGTGGCACCAGTGATCTCTCCTAGTGTCCTTGGGGAGCTATTTTTTTCACCCCCTGTGACAGAGATCAGAGTGGGAGTGGTGGGAAAAGCCTCGACGGCTTTGGGGTGCTGTTTCTGCCTCGTGCCCCACCATTGTGGGGAACCCACGCCCCAAATTTCGTGCCCCAGGTCTCAGTTCCAAAGCCCTCAGGTCCAGGACGCGGGCTGTAGCCCAGTTCAGTGTCCGCAGAAATGGCTCCTTTTGCACCTTGCTCCCGTGCCTGGGCGCCTGGTTTCTCATTACTCAGGGAGTGACATTCACCTCAGTGAGGACCCCCGCGTGTCTCCCCACAAGCCTAGGTCACAGGCGCAGGGACCTGGGCAGCCGCGATCCGCATTTGCTTTTCAAGCGCGCCTCTTTCCCGCACAAGCTTACCGGCTGGCCTGGGGCTGTGTGCAGTTCTCCAGAGTCCTTGTTTTTCTCTAATGGCGCCCGGAGCCATTCGCTCACCTCCACAGCAAATCCTGCAGGGTTCTCCACAGCTCCAGTTCACGGGGTGTGGTGGCTGAAATAATTCCTTTCCATTCACAGTCCTGCTTGATGCGTAGTTTGTTCTTGTTGGTCGTTTTAGTTTTTTGTTTTTTTTCCTCCTCTCTGTTGGTCGGAGAGTGCCAACTTTGTGGATGGGGGAGGGTAGTAGGGTTCTGAGCTTTCCTCCCTTCTAGTCCTCTTTTATGGCAACTTTCTTCTTCGGGCAGTTTGCTGGAGTCACCCGTTTATCTTCCGTGTCCCAGTTCTCACTGGGACCTGCCGCTTTTCCTCCCTATTAACTTTTTTTAAATGGGAGATCTTACTCGCAGCGTTTCCTCACTGCCATGTTGATCCGCCTCCCCTACCTTATTTCTTAACCATGTAAATTTTCAAATATATTTGGATAGTAGAATATTTAAAAAAATAAGTAACTAAAATTATTAAACTTTAATTCTCCTAGTAAAACCTATATTGTACACTGATGTTTGAAATCTCAAATACATTAAAACATTTGAGAAGTATTTCACAAGAAGTTATTTTATTAGGAAAATACTGTAGATACATTTCTACTTCTTAGGTAAAATCATGGGTGATTTTTCTTATCTGAATGTTAGGTACAGCAAGAGGTCTTGTAGAATCTTAAAAGGGAAAACTCTTGTTTTTATATTCTGATCTTCAAATGTTCCTCAATCCTGCTGGTTCAAACAGAAAAGAGTCAAGCAGTCAAATAGAATTTCATACAGAGACTATTTTATATATTTTCATAAATTCATTTTAAAATTTACAAAGAAAAATATATAGTAAGTTATAAAAACTTCCAGCTTCACATTCCCTCCTGCCAGCTATGACCATGAACAGAGCAAGGTCTACCCTTATACCCACAGTCATGGACTAATGTGAATAACAAAGGAGAATTTTTGTCAGTTGTTCCTTCTCTTGAGAGAACATAGGAAATATTGTTGAGAAGTTTTTGTTTATTAATAATCTGATCTTTATTTTAATATTTGGAAAATTACTATATAATTTGAATGGAGGTACAATGATGTATGATATAATTTTAATAAAAACTTTTAATGGAAACACATTTGAGCTTAAGAAAAATTTCACAAAATCAAATTTTTTACATTCAAATTTGAATATTTTTCACAGGCAATAGCTATGATTGATCATAAATTGAAATAAAAACACAAAAATGGATATCAATTCATGTATCAGATAATCTATATCAATAAAACCACTCAAGATGGAAAATAAAACTGCATATGATCATATTGAATTTTATGTCTACTGAAATTAAAGGATCATGAAGATATGTATTGTTAGTGCTGGCCAGTTGTACAGAGTTTTCTGAGGAAACCTTTCCATGAACAAATGAAAGATAAATAAAATGCTAATTCTTAAAAAAGCTTAAAATGGCTTCCCTTTGGAGAATACATATGACTTTAATTTTTTTAATACATATTTTTAAAGATTTATTTTATTTTATGTGTACAAGAGCTGGGGTACAGGCCGGAGGTACAGGAGGAGGCGAGTAAGAGGATTCACCAGAGACAAAGTGGGGAACAGAACAGGCAGATTGACTGAAATACACTGCTGAGGGGAGCAGCAGGAGAGTCAGGAGAGGTCTGCTGCACCATGTGGGTAGCTTCCTGGCCGGGGATCAAACTCGTGCTGCTGTGGCTGCAGATAGTTTCATAGGTTGTGTCTTTAACCCTTTGCACCACCAGCGAGGCCCTGATTAAATTTTTATTATATGAACTAGATTGAAAAATCTAATGTTATTTTGAAAATATTTATTTTGAAAAATTAACATCCCCAATAACACAACAATGCAAATGAAAATAAAATAAACTGTTTAAAATCTAAATAATCCTACAAAATCAAAGGCCATTAACTAATACATGAAATATTATTATAAATGGTATTAACTTTTGTGTATTTTTTCACTTCAACTTCATCCCTTTCTTTAAAGTTATTTTTCTAGTAAAAGTAATAAATGTGCATCATGTAATGTCTCTTTGAAAATACAAAACATGGAGACTATATTATTATGTTTGTACTCAAAATACGCTAAAACATAGCATCATGTAAATTACATTCACTTATTAAACATATACCTGTATCACAATTATTTTAAATTTTATTAATACAATATTTCATTGATAGACTGATATATAATTCTTACACAATTATGTTCAAGTTATAACTTAAGTTATAACTCTCAAGTTCTTCTCTTCTTTTTCTTTACTTTTGGAATCCTCACAGGTATAGGCGTGATAGTCTTTTTTTCCCTTGGTAAATATTTGAATAGGCAAAATGCAGTAGCAGTGAAGATGATAGTGGCTGATTTGCACATTAAAGCTGAATTTAAAAAAGAAATCATCTGATACATCAGTTTATTCAAAGCACAAATGAACATGGAAAAAATGTCATTTTGTAATGGAAATATAATTAGATTTCAGCTCTAAAAGCATCAATTTTTCAACTGTAGCATGTGATTAACATCATAAAGTTCTACCAAGTTATTTAAAGGGATTTTTTTAATGTTTATAAAACCTTTCAGATTTCTTAGGTACATAGTTCAAGGAAAATGCAAGATGTGTTATTGTTTCACAGAATGTATTAATTTTGAAACATAAAAATATATTTCTACTTTGAAAACTTAACTATGAACAGGAACTGGAAACTGTTTAAGTGACTTCAGGTGACTATCCTTTTTTGAAATAGTCATCATTTCCCAAATACAACAAAAAATATTATAGAAAAATTGATTATGTAAAGCTTATAAATTCATTTCTATGTTCAGAAAAAAAAAATATTACAAGTAGAGGGCCTTCCCGGTGGCGCAGTGGGTTGAGCGCTGGGTTGCGAAGCTGCCCGCGGCCTCTGAGGCGCCGGTTCCATCCCTGGATGCTCCCTGGCCACCGGAGGAGGGTCCCACATGGCGCGCAGACCTCTCCTGCCGCCTGCTGCTCCCCTCAGCAGTGTACTTTGGTCCTTCTGCCTGCTCTGCTCCCCGCTCTGGCTCTGGTGAATTCTCTCACCCTCCCGCGCTTCTAACTGTACCCAGTGCATGTATAAATAAACAAACAAACAAATAAATAAAAACATGCCTCTTAAAAAAAAAAATTACAAGTAGTACTTGACCTTTGTGTGCACCTGACCCTGTCATTTAAAGTAAGAAAGATTGTAGTGCAGAATATAAATTAACTGATCTAGTGGTATCAAAATTGCAAATAGGAGACATTAATGAATCTATGCCATTTATAATTCAATAGTGTCTCATACATTTCTGATATATAAATACTGTAAATAACCCCAATGCATATTAACAAGAGAATGGATAAAATATAGTACATTCACAAAATGACATAGCATACTCAAACTTTTTTTTTTAAATAGCACAAACTACTGGTATAAAAATAGCATGGATGAATCTCCCAAAAGCATAACTTTGTCATCAGTCAGTTGAGTATGCATGCATGGATTTATTTCTTTCTCCATTTTGTTAAATTGGTCAATGTAGTGACTCTTAGATCAATAGCATAGTGTATTAGCTATATTATCTTGATAATATACTTGGTACCTGAGTGCATAAAACCTTCATTTTTTTTTTCCTTCAAGTTTTTGTTTAATAATTGATAATGGATCATTCTTGGCCCTTTTACTTTCCATATGCATTTTAATTTCCTTGTTAATTTCAAAAACCTGAGATTTTTGTGATCACATTGATGTTATGTATTTACTTAGAAATGGCATTTTAAATCCTTTCTACCTCCTATAATCATCATACCTTTTAGTTATTTTTAGGATTTAATTTCTTGCAAATAGATTTTGTAGCTATCAGTGTAAAGTAACTAGGCAACTCTCAGCAGATTTTTTTCTTTGTACTCGATTGTGTTATTGTATTTCTTATTTTTGTATTTGATTATGTTATATATATTCAATATAAACACACAACTGATTTTTGCATACTGATTGTATATTAAACAATCTTACTAAATCCACTTAATTCTAACATATTATGTTTCTTGATATGGATGCTAGTGACAGATGCAATCAATTCATAGAAATTATTTATAATATATACTCTTTACGGAATACATATTTCAATAAAAATTCTACCACTGATAAAGTGGTGAACATGGCAAGTTAAAAAAGGAATGTTTATAAAAGACCTACAAATATTTCTACAGCCAATAAGCTAGAACTGATGAACTCCTTCAGTTGAGGTAAATGGCATTTAATTAATAATACCAATGGGAACTTAAGTTTGAGAAAGATCAGAATTTCCTTGTTGTCAAAGGGAAATGATGTATTGATATGAAAATTGTTTTACCATTTTGACTGATAAAACATTTAAGAATCTGAGGAGTACCATTGTCTTCCTCCACAGAGAATAACAAACTGGGCATACAAATGTACAAACAAAGTATTAGGATTTCTAGAATATACTAAAATTCATTGTGGGTTCCTAGAGTTCATGGATCCTTATTGAATAAGCTTTTCTTGAGAGTAGTGGTTTGTATAGAACTTTTTGAAAATGGTGGTGTTTTTCACCTATACTTCTAATATTCAGATGTGACCATTAATTACATTAAATTTAACTAGTTTTATTGAGGAACTGAATGCTTTTTTTTTAAAAGATTTATTTATTTATGCATACAAGAGCTGGGGTGTAGGCCAGAGGTGTGGAGTGGGGAAGTGGTGAGACAATTCACCAGAGACAGAATGGGGAGAACAGGTGGATTGACTGAAATACACTGCTGAGGGGAGCAGTGGGCAAGACAGGAGAGGTCTGCTGTGCCATGTGGGTCAGCTCCCTGGCCAGGCATCGAAATTGTACTGTAGTGGCTGCGTATAGCTTCATCGTGCTGAGACTTAACCCCTTTTGCTACCAGGGAGGCCCAGAAACTGAATTCTTAAATGCATTAAATTCAAATATTTACATAAATTCTACAGTTCTTTCATTTTTGAAATATCTCCTGTACCATAAACTTCAAGGTATCCATTTGTCCATAGTTTATTATTACTGTAACTTACTATAAACAACCAAAAGTTTCAAAAACAATTTTACTTCTCTTCATTTCTTCAATTGTTATCACTTACATAGTCCTCCAAATAAGTACATCATTTTTGTCTTGTTATACAGCCAACAATTTCCAGTGACTCCACAGTTATCGATATCACGAAAAATACAGTAATCTTCTCTTGCTAGTTTAAAAAGTGCTGGTCCAGGTATACTCCCTATGAAAAATGCATTGACTGTAAATTTTCCATAAAGACACTATAGGTTGGGATCAGAATGATTCTTCTCTTAAAATTAAGGATATACATATACATTTAATCATCACTGTAAACCCATCATTTAAAAATAATCTGAGTTTATACATAAAATTTGTAATAACTGGAAAAAATGATTGTATTTAAGAAAATACTTATCCCTGTGGGTATAAAAAATTAGTAGGTTTGCATCTTTTTAGAATAGTGTGCCTGTTGTTATTTAGTTGGCATCTCAAAATTTTGTTAATTTTTGAATAAAAATTTTAAGAAAAAGTATTTAAACAGAAATAATCATTGATTTTGTGAACTCTGTATCACTAAAGATTTCAAATTTTTCAATCTTCAATAATTGAATTTTTTTTTGCTATATATGTGTTACTTACCAAGGTGAGATAGATTACTGAAAATGTAAATGCTTTGGAATTTTTGTAGTATCCCCACATTCAGACTGATCTTATATCCAGAGTTGGGTGCTACTTAAGGGAATTCTCCAAATTAAACAAACTAACTAATGAAGCTCATCCTTGAATACCATCCTTTCATTCAATGTCCACAATTTTTTTCTCTTCAGTGTTGTAAAGAACACTATTTAACAAAATGACATTATTCCAGTGCCTGCTATACTGAGACACATCTTCTCAGCAATAACATCATTTTCAGCTAAAAGTTAATGAACAGTCATTAAAAAGGGAAAAATCACCCCAAAAATATTAGAACTGGATTTTCATAACTACCATGTCTAATGATTTATCATTTCATTAAGAAATTATCTATGCCCTCCTGCTTTATGATTATTTATTCTTTCCAAAGGCCAATATACATCACCAAATTTCCAATCTCAGAGAGTTCTGGCATTCTGTTTATAGGAAAAACCTAGGTCTACTATTAATTTTTTGAAGTTCCTTCCTTTTTTTTTAATCCATGATAAATTTTGTAATTCCAAGACAAATAATGGAAATACTGACTGTCTCCCTGTGCACTATAATCTCCAAACCAAATTTAACATAGTTCTTATTTAGACTTAAGTACAAGCTTCTCTTTTTCCCCACATTTTCTTTTTTTAACCACATTTATCTTCTATAAGCATTTCTTCCTCTAATAGCAGATATTTTTTAATATAAATCAGATAATAACTATTCTATGTTAAAATTCCCTGATGGATAAACCAAGATCTAGAGATACTGTGTATCCAAAATATCTCTATTCCACCCTCTCTCATTTGAAAATACATCAGTCTCACTTGCTATTATTTCTCCTATGCTCATTCTTCCACTACAAATCTGACCTTTTTCTAGTGGGTCATTATGTAGCATAGAAATATGCTGTAATTTTAATCTAGACTTAGAATAGTATATAATCTAACTATAAAATACTTTCTCTGATCCTCACGTGAGTCACACTTTGGTTTTTTCACATTTTTATTCTATTTATAATTTGTCTTTCATCCTCAAAACAATTCAATCTTGTTTTCTTATCCCACCCACCAATAATTTGAAAGTACTTCCTAAATCAATGGTCCAAATATATTGAAGAGAAAAAATTTGTGGTAACAATGGTTATATGTAAAGCTAGTTTTTGCTATTCTAAATCTGTACTACACAGTCATCAGCAAAACTAATTTGTTCTTTGACTTACTCACAAACATAAGACTTGGTGTCTTATGTGATGAAAATTTTTATAGGTATTAATCTAGGTTAGTGATTTCCCAAACTTGCAAGCACTATAGCAGGTATCTGCTAAGCTCATAAAATGTTTAGTCTAGCTTATCAAACCAATTGTAAGAGCTTGGTTGATTTTCTTCTGAAACAAATGATTATCACTGCTAATTGAATATAATTTTAATGCATATTTAATATTCCAATTAGGATGTGTTTTATGTTAGATAGTCAAGCTGCACCCCCACTCACTTGTGTATGTCAGTTTACCACTGTTACTTACTCAAAATTCTAAATATACATGTAGATATGTATGCAGTATCAAAAAGGAACAATTCAATGTAATAAAAGATTGATAAAATCCATACCAAATAGTCTCACTACCACATAGCTCAAACCCAAGGCTATAGCACGATGCTTTTCTGATACAATCCTGTAAGCAAATGGCAATGATATCATCAGTACATCATCATTGTTAGCTATAAAGCATGTTTACAAATTTCAAAGTTAATTTTTTCCCCTGCACATCAAACTAAATATCTTTAGAATTCAATATGGCTGAATTAAAAAACTGCATCTCCTCATTTCTTCATATCCTGCCCCTTACCAGCCAATTCCAAAGCTTCTTGATCTTCACAAGAAGGAAGCATTTATGGTATAAACCCTATAGCCCAGCCTTCTTTTCCTTTGATAAAAATAACTTGGCACTAGTTTTCATTCTTTTCTTTTTTTCATTCGGGGCTCCCTCCCTGCAGAGTTACATCAGACTGACTAGGCCCCTAAACAAAAGAGTCCCCTTATAGGTCTCTTTACTTCTTACCCTCATTCCCCTGTGGAACCCAGATCGTAAAGACAGGAGGTACTACACTGTGTTTTGGGATTCCTAACAATCTTCGTACATGTTAAATCATTACTTTATTCAATTTTACTTGAATTTTCCTAATTGGATCTCTTTTAACATTTCTTATTGGATCTGTTAACGTCTGTATTCAAAAACTAAAATAAATGATAAATAATTTCCCACATATAAAGAATGAAAATATCTGTACTTCCCACTAATGAAATCAAGCATTTGTTTTAAAAAGAAAAATAATGCATAATATCACATATTAGTAATATAGAAAATAGATTGAAAATACAATTAAAATAACTTTTAAACATTCTAGGAAGTAAAAAAAATGAGAACTGCATGTAAAATAAACCATGAATAATTTTAAAAAGTTATAAACTTTTCTTGTTCTAGAACATAGCCTACTATGATCAATATTTTCATCCAGCATTATTCAATTTATTAAAATACAGAATACATACATTGCTTTTTTACTATTTTGCAAAAAATTAGATTAATTCCACCCATACCAACCTGGTAAAATTATATATTGCTTCCTCAAATGTTTACTACTAGGATAATCAAGACAAATTAACCAATTCTCAAATGATAATATTTGTACTTTCCCTTTTATGTAGTATTGTCCCTCAGCTTCATCCCCCACAGGTCTTCAAATTATTCTATTTATAATGCATATATGATTATTTTTATTTCTGAGGTTTACTGTTTTCAATGGCTTCCAGGTGTACACAGGATAACATCATTCATTTTAACATGACAAAGAAAACACAACATGATCAACACCCTTACTCAGTCGAATCTTGTTCTGTTTACCATAATGTTACTTTTAATATAGCCAAGATATTTAACAGATTTTTGCCTCTCCATCCACTTATTTTTCCTTTTAAGAACTTATTCCCACGGGCCTCCCTGGTAGGGGGTTAAGGCACTGCCCTATGAAGCAGTCCACAGCCTCCACAGCATAAGTTCGATCGACAGCCTGCCAGGGAGCAACCCACATGGCAAGGCAGACATCTCCTGTCTTCTCTGCTGCTCCCCTCAGCAGTGTATTTCAGTCGGTCTGCCTGTTTTCTTCCCACTCTGTCTCTGATGCAGCCTCTCACTCCCCCCTCCCCCGCCAACCCCTGCATCTCTGGCCTGCACCCCAGCTCTTGTATGCATAAATAAATAAATCTAAAAAAAAAAAAACTTATCCCCAGTTTGCACTTTTTCAAAAATTTTTAATCTGCATAACACAGTTCAAGTTTCATGCCTTCTATAAGTAATTCCAAGCAATCTTGCATAGAAATTACCTTTCCTGCCTTTTTGTTCCTGGATCAGTTATACAGTCTTTAAGTTTGCTCTAATTATTCACTGCAATTCTATTTGTGTGTTTTTCTCCCTCCCATGGAGTTCTAAGCAACTCAAGGCAAGTCCATATCTTAGTGGTCTTTGTACTTTATTCATACATATCCAGACACATATGTATGAAAAAACTATTTCACAGTAATTGATATGTCCAAGTTTTATATCCACTCTAAATTAAAAGTTCATTGATGGCAGAGACCCCATATTCTGATTTCATTTTTTTTTTTTAAGATTTATTTATTTATACAAGAAACCAGTGTCCAGGCCAGATGCGTGGGAGGGTAAGAGAATTCACCAGAGACAGAGTGGGCAGAACAGAACAGGCAGACAACCGAAGTACACTGCTGACAGGAGCAGCGGACGCGACAGGAGAGGTCTGCTGCACCATGTGGGACACTCACCAGCCTGCCGGGATCAAACCGGTGCTGCAGAGGCTGTGGACAGCTTCACAGTGCAGCGCTCAACCACCTGTGCCAGTAGGGGAGGCCCCTGATTTCATTTTTTTTTTAAAGATTTATTTATTTATTTATTTATACAAGCACTGGGTACAGTCACATGCACGGGAGGGTGAGAGAATTCACCAGAGCCAGAGCGGGGAACAGAACAGGCAGACTGACGAAATACACTGCTGAGGGGAGCAGCGGGCCTGGCAGAAGAGGTCTGTCGCGCCATGTGGGACCCTCGCCAGCGGGCTGGGGATCAAACCAACGCTGCAGAGGCTGTGGGCAGTTTTGCAGCCCAGCACTCAACCACTGCGCCACCAGGGGAGGCCCCAATTTCATTTTTTTTGCATGCACTTATTTATTCCTGTTTTATACTCAGCTTTCCTTGGGACAGAAAACTATTCCATATGGCTTAAACTTTTATGTTGACCTTTTGAAAAAATTTAATTATGACAAGTTATTCTGCTTCTGTGATAAAAAATATTTAAAGTATTTCATATTTTGTGGAAGAACAAGTGAATGTAGGTTTATTTTAGAATAATAAAAATTTACATAATGAAATTCTAAAAGTTAGAGTTATTATGTACCTTTGTGGGTGAAGCTAATGTTTTTTCATAGTCAAATTGTCTATGAAAATGTTTATTAAAATTGTACCCCTTAATATGAAATATAAAAATTAAAGTAAATAATCTATAAATTACTATAACTTATGAGTCAATATTATAACCATATCTGTGTTATAATTAAGAATTTTCCAGATATGTAACAAATAAACAAATTTACTTTTCAATAAAAGTTAAAGTAAATGTGATATCTATAAACTTCAATCATATAAATAAAAGAATCAAATCTATTCATGAATTTTTAAAATACAATAATTTTCCCATGTATGAAGTTTTCATGCATTAAGTTAAATTAATTACTTAGCTAATTAAAACTAAATGTGATATCTATAATTTATGCAAATAAATTCATTAAAACAGAGAATTAAGCGTGTGCATGGATTTTAACAATGTAATAATTTTTCCCACTAATAGTTGCTACTTTGAAACACAGTAAAATATTTGCTACAATTTTGCAAAATCTTCCTAAGATTGTCACTCACTCTTATGTATTAAAGAATAATATATACATACCTGAGGATGGTCAGGATGCTTGGTATACCAGTAAAACAAGAAAATACAATTGTAGATAACACAAAAGCAAGGAACAAAGGAAGTTTATAACATTTGGGATCACATGTCCCAGATCTAGCATCAATAGAATCACCTTGCTCATCTGGTGTTATTAATCCATGTTTAATGCAAGAGCAATTGTAGTATACCTATAAATATTAAATTAATCATTTAGTAATATAGTCATAAAGCAAAAACTCTTATTAATGTAATATAAAATTAAATCATTAACTTCAGGGAGACTGCCAGTTTTATTAGTAAATAACCTTACATTAAACTTGCCATATATTATTTAGAAATGAGACATTAGTAGTAATTAGAAGGTATTTTTGTTAATAAAGGATCATATATGTGCATTTAATGATTCTTAGGAAAAAGTCCACTAATTTAAGAAATAGTACAAAAATATTTATAATCAATTGATGAAATAATATTAGAAAGCTATATGAATTGACAATGAAGAAAGTACAATGAGTGAAATGAAATTATAGCTGGGATTTGGTAAACATGGACATTTAGCCAATTTTGGAGACTTTAGGAACATGTCAGAAAATATGTTTATTTATAGGTAATGATGAGAGTGCTGTTATCTATTAAAGAGAGAAAACACAGTGTAGAGAGTCCATAGTACTTTCAGGACCACAAAGAAAAGTTTAATTTTAATGTTTTAAACTCAAAGAAGAAAAGTGAATAAAATATAATGACTCCAGTCTGGGCCATATTTATCTTCCCACCTGTAGTGCCAGGAAGGGCACAGAGCAGGTTTTCTATGATTGGAGCAGACGGGTAAAGGAGAGTCCTGGAACCCTGGTGGTTTTTTCAGGCTTTTATTGAGCTTTTACAAGTAGTATGGCAACCAGGTACACAGCGTGGGGGGGGTGGGGAGGTGGGAGGCCAGTAGGCCTCCTGTCCCCCAGCAAGTCTTTGCTCTTTCAAGCTGCTTCCCGGCTCTCACTCTCTCCCTTTCTCCCCTGCAGCCAGGGCCTACAAGAGTAAACAACCCAACAGAAAATTACAATGTAACAAAAGGCAGGTGCCCACCATCAGGCATGCAATCCTAATGGCTGTAGGCAGAGAAGCCTGAAAATCATTCACCCTACAGTACCACTGCAGTTAGACAGTAGATTTTTTTTCAGTGAAGGTGGGGGCTTACAAAGACAAATGTCTATAATCAATGAAAGTCATGATATAACTCTGAGTAAGAATCATGAAAATAAGGGGTAGTTGTTATAAGATTGATAAATAGGACAATGAATATATAATTTTCTTTTTAAAAAAAAGCTAACAAAATTTGGAGATAGAGACCAGTTAATAATTTATTAATCTATTGAAAGGTTCTAAGCCAAAAAATACAAATTTTGAAAAATATGGAGTCAGTTTACCAATGAACAACTAATAGGAATAAAAGATGGTTTGAATCTGAATGACTTAGAAAAACGATGGTCCAAAATAGAGAAGTATACAGTTGTGTAATTAGAAATTTTTCATATTTCATCATGTTCAAGATTTAGTATAATATTACAAGGAAAGCAAAATGACAAGTTTGATCTTTTTTAATTAAGTGAAGAATAAACAAAACTAGACTGAAAAGTGGTTATTAGCACTTTAGCTATGGTTAATATTTTCCAGAAAATAGATAGAAAAATTGACAAAATATTTTACATTATGTGGGATTTCATCAGGAACTTGGATTCTACAAAAGCATAAATGTTAGAACTGAAAATGCAATGAATAAATTTACAATCTCAGTAAAATAGTATTAACAGCAAAGTAGATACTGAAAAGAGAATATATAAAAGAAAATCAATAAAAAATCTACATTTAAACAAATAGATTAAAGGAGATGGAAAATAAAAGAGCAAAAGAGTATGAAATACAGTGTAAAGTTCTATTTGTAGGATGTGTTAGAATTCTAACTAACTTAGAATATAAAGCCTGCAAATTTCAAACAACTATGAGATAATGGATTTTACTCCACTTTCCAACTCCATTATATGGCATATTGACTTTAAGAAAGAGAGGATAAACCTTTCCTAATTAGGTGAGCTTTGAAAGGTACTGCACTTTTACTGAAGTCAGAGATTCAAAGTTTGTGTTGTAGAGGAGATACTCTGTGGCTTATGCTTGAAAATGGAGGGTCATAAAGAACGGGGATGTCCCTAAAATTTTTGCCCCTGCATTTGGGCACTCAGCAGATTGCTAACAAGGAAAAGGCAACCTTGTTTGTTTGTGTGTTTGTTTGTTTACAACCCAAAGGAACTGAATTTTGTCAATAACCTGAATGGAATCAGAAGTTGATTTTCCCCCAGAGCTTCCAGAAAGGAACATAGCTGAACTACCACCATTAGTCTGTCTGTGAGACTGAGAGACTAAGCAGAGAACCTAGAGTCATTCCATGCTGTAGACTTCTGACCTTAGAACTGTGAACTAATAAGTGCATAGGCTAAGGTAACTTATTATGTAGCTGGAGTAAACTCATACATGGACTAAACACACACAAGAATGGAGAGAGGATAAGGAAACAAAAAGAGCTGACAATTTTCAAACCAAGACATGCAAATCCACAAACTAAAGATACTCTGAAGTTGAAGCAACATAAATTTAAATTTAGTGAAAACCACAACTAGGCATATCACAGTTTAAAACTGCTAAAAACCAAAATCAAAGAGAAAATCCTAAAACAGTCAGACACATAAGGGAAGAAAATGGCATCTTTTAAATGCCAGCATGGGGTGGGGTACCACTACCAATATAGAATTCTATACCCATTGAGAAGGTTGTTGCTTTCTTCTTCAAAAATGAAAGAGAAAAAATGAAAGTAAAAGAGTGCCAAGGAGAGGTGTAGGTCACTGTCTGTGGTTCTCACCCATGTCCTTGCAAATGCTGACCAGTAAGGCTCTGGGTACAACAATGGGATTTATTAATAAACAAGAGATTGGAGAAAATGAAAGAGTTTCTAAGGCCATAAGAGTCCCTAGTGTCTACAGTATCCAATAGACCAAGACAAAGGCTGCTTTTGCAAGATGGCACTGTCCCTTTGATGAGAGCCTGGAGCTTGTGCATACTGGTCTGCACTGCACCAGGTTCCAACTCATGGTGGCAGCTGGAGGTGCTCACAGGTGCTGAGGTGAACTACAGCAGACCACATCAACAGTCTGAAGACCAGTCTGGACAGCACAGAATGCCACACTGGATGGTGTTGGAGGCAATAGCACTGGGATGATATGCTGCCACCATACCAGAAGTGGTGGACAGCTCTTAATGGTGGCCAGATACAGACACTGGTCAGCAGTGCTGGTCAGCACAGGTCACTAGGAGGTGGTACCAGGGACACTAGTGCTACAGCATGTTATAAAATGTTAATACAAGCCAACAGCAAACAGCTCTTTTTAAAAGACACCTGGTCCAGGCCAGTGGTTCTCCTTGTAGTTTGTCAGAGCAGGGATGGAGGAAAGTATAGTGGCCAGGTCTCTGCAAAAGTCTATGTATGTTTGGAAATTTGCAGAGGTCTAAAAGTCTATGGAAGTCTGCAAAATCTACAATGTTTGCAGAGTTCTGCAAAGGATCTGTGGAGCTCATCTGCTGAATCCTCTTCTGAAGCTACCTGATGAATCCTATTTGGAGGCTGTCTGGTGAACGCTTCTCTTCCGAGGCTGTCTGCTGAATCTTGTGAAAGCCATCTGCTGAATCAATGCTCCTCTTTGGAGACCATCTGCTGAATGAATCCAAGCTGGTTGCTTATATCCTTTTCAGGGTTCTAGCCCTTCATAGCTGATTGGTCCATTTTTCGATCCTAACTGTTTGATTGTTATCAGTTAAGCAACAATCGGCTTCATTTTCAACTCACATAATGGACCCTCCACCATGAATGGAAATGGAGAACCTGATTGACCCAATAAGCTCAAATCTGATTGGTAAATTTGCAATCCTGGTGACAGAATTGAAAGGGAAATCCCTGCAATCCCGCCCGCATACGACTTGCACTGAGGCCAGCGAAGTCTTTTCAGCTCTGCACTCAAGGGAGCTGTGGCCAGAGCTGGTCACAGTGAGGCCAGAGGTAGATTGCACCCAGCTGCACCTCAGGGGGCTGGGTGCAGCAAAGCAGAGGGGACCCAAAGCAAGGCTGAGGCATGGGTACCAGCAGCTGCAGGCTGTGTCACCACTGGGGACACACCATGTTGGTCTAGCACTCTGTCAGCCACCCTCCCTGCAGCTGCTGGTACCATGCTGGTACCCATTCAAGTTGCCCCAGCTGGGCTTACCACTCCTCCCAGCGGCCCGAAACCAGGAACTCTGTTGCTTGGCAGGGGTCCCTCCACTATTGGAGCCCTTGGGTTGGCCCTGAGGTTGCTGCAGCACAGAGGGGTAAGTCTTATTGCTGCAGTCCCAATAGGGGACACAACCCAGGCAGGTGAGTTGGAACCTGGTTCCACTGTTGCCCACCAGCACCACCCACCACCAGTGCTGGTGCAACCACAGTTCAACTGCAGCACAGGTCAGCAAGATGCATCAGCTGGGAGATGGGACTGCCCACAGGCAGTGTGCTAAGGTAGCATGGTCAGGTGACTGGGCCCCTATATGGTTGCCATCACTGTGGCTTAAGTAGTGGGGGCCTCTGTGTCAAAGGAAATGTATTGTTCTTCAGGAAAAAGGAAAGTAATCTCATGAAAGTATGAAAATGTAAATAAGTTAAAATATTCTAAGGATATGTGAACTGAAAGAGATCCTGCAGCCTGATTTCTTATAATCCTTAATGTTGTGAATGAGATTGACTTCCCCATTCTATTGAACGAAGCTCCTATTGGACAAGAGTAGGTGCTGGACAAGCCCCTGATCCAATGATAATAAATGAAGCTACGTCAATTATTGAAAGAAGATCATGAAGAAAAGCACACAATTTTTTTTCATGTCTATGTATAAGGAAATTTGAAGATTTTAGCATGGATAAGAATGCATGTGGGTTTCAATGATAAAAATTGCCCAGGTTATTGATACAAGCAGATAATCTATTCAGTTTTAGTAAAGCTGTTATTTTCTGCAGAAACTTAGAAATCTTCAGAGATATAGAATTTCTAACCACTCCTCTTGCAAATTTTTGCAGATGGATTACTGATAAAGGGCTTTATTGCCTACTAAGGAGGTAGTACAATACTTATGGGTCAAGAAATATGCCTATTTTTTTTTCTCTCTTCCACTCAGCAAGACTAGTAGCCAGAGAGGGGAACAACAAAATTTCTAAATCCTGGGTCCTACTTCTGTGCTAATTAAACAGGAGAAGCTGAAGTCCATTATTTAGCTAAGCTCAATTGTGCAATTTGGCATCAAAATCATAGAAGAGTGTTAAAATGCACTTCATGACAAAACAGAATCATTTGCCTGTAGGTTGTCAGGAAGCTCAGGGAATTAAGGCATTCTGATAGCAATGACCCCAAAGATGAACAAGTAGAATTTTAAAATGAGTTCTCATTCATGTAAAGGGGCTGATTTCCACATTTAAATGAATGTGAAGCAGTGACGTAGAGACAGCAAGAAGGTAAAGCATAGATATATTGAATTGCTCAGCAAAAGGAAAAGTCAGGAAAGCTGATCAAAAGGTTGTATTGGTCAAAATATTGGTGTGGGAAATATGGGAGTTCAAGATTATAGTGGATTGGGAAGATAATTACTCTTAGACTGCTTCTTCTGAATTTGTGATGGGAAGCCGTAGACAATAGTCATTCACTGCTTTAAATCCATATAATTGAGATGATATAGACATGGAGGCCTTAATGTAGGAATTGACTTTAACATTCTCAATTCCCATAAACCCTTTGTATTGTGGCCACATAAAACAAGTGTTATTTTTTGGGTTTTAAAATTTCCCAAATGCCCAAAAATAGATGACTAGATCAAGAAGATGTGGTATATATACCATGGAATATTATTCAGCAATCAAAAAAGATAAACTCATGCCATTCCCAGCAACATGGATGGAGCTAGAAGGAATTATGCTCAGTGAACTAAGCCAGAAGGAAAAAGAAAAGTATTGGATGGTTTCACTTATAGCAGGAATATAGGGGAACCAAGTAAGACATCAGGGGAAATAATAATAACAATACAAAACACAACAAAGCAAAACCAGACAATTATAAATCAGAGACATCCTGTAGGGGAGGAGGAGGGAGAGGGATCAGAGGGAGGGAGGGAGGAGCACAGGGGACTGAGGTGAGGGTGCACAGGTGCATTGGTGAAATTCTATGGGGACTACACCTGAAGGGGTGGGGAGAAGCAAATATTGTTTAAAAATGAACAATGATGTAAAAAATAAAGTAATTAATAAAAAAATTTTAAATTTAAAAAAGGAAAATAAAGAGAGAAAAGCTTTTATCATAGTGAGGTAGGAGTAAGATGTAAATACCATCTACAAATCAAACACCTTACTAGGGAGGCCAAAGTACAATAAACAATAATTACCTCATGATCATTTATTGTTTTAGATTGTGCACAGCCTGCATAGCAAGGAGAGAAATATCCAATATCATCTCTTCCACATATAGCACTATAAACTGAAGATGAACACTGACAATGAGAATTGCAAGGAGCTGTCAGGTTCCCCAACTGCCCTGTACTGTAAAAAAAAGAAAAAGAGAGATTGAAAGTAATTACATTGCACTGTATTCTACTTTTTATCATATATATTAAGATATAATGAGATCCATAAAAATACAATTACTGAAATAACCTCTAACAGCTTTATCAAGGTATTACTAATACAATAAACTGGGGATTTTTAAATGCACAATCCGGAATTTTTGATATGTATATACAATTGTGAAACGATCACTACAATCATGAACATAATCATTGCCACAAAATTTTCCTCACGGTTCTATTTTTGTTTTTATTTTTTTTAATTTTATTGATCTTCCAGTTGTTTATATAACTAATTTGGGGAGTGTATATCTGCCCCTCCAAATGTGCACATGCTTCACTCAGCCTCCACTAGAGCTCCAGAGCCACACCCTATCACCTTCCCTCTCCCTCTACTCCCATTCCCACTGGGAACTAGTACATTTTTTCACAAATATCTCATGACCCATTGTAATTCTTCTGCCCCTGGCATTTTCTGAGCTACAGTCTGTCACTATTCATTAGTTCATACAAGTTTTTATGTATTTAAGGGTGTATTTTGGGGGTCTTCAGTTTAAAATTTCTGTCCATCTCTGCAATTTAGAATATACCACTTATTCGTTATGGTCTTACAATGAATTTGATGTCTGGTAGGGAACTCTTCCAGCTTGACTTTTTAAGGCAGTGTATTATTCTTGGACTTTCGTTTTTCTACATGACTATAAAAACAAACTCTTTTAATATTTTTACTAGCATTGTAAGGCACGCATGTCAATTTGTAAAGTGACAGCTTTGTGATATTTACGTAAACATGCTATAGCATTTAGCTTATTAAATATTACTTTATGTGTATTAGATAAATTTTACTTCTATCCATATAGGTTTTGAACATCCTTGTTTTGAAACAAGATTAATTACAAGATATCTTTTCACTTTTGCTAATTTACAAACATTTTCTTTTACAAAAATTATATTTTTCCTTTTTTTTTGCTGTTATAAAGGAACAGTAATTTTTATTTAATGCTTTTATATCCAGGAAATTATAACTGATCTCTAAATATAGATTTTCATAAATTTTCCTTAGACAAAACTATATTTTCTGAGAATTATTGAATCATTCTCTTTCTAGTATATGTAACTTTTACAAGCAATACATGTGCTATTATGATGTGAAGCATTCAATATAGTGTAGAATAAGATAACATGTATCTTTTATTTATCTCTTGCTTCTCTGTAACTCTGGTCTCAATGCTGAATTATTTTGTCCTCAAAGACAAGAACCAAGAAAGGAACCACCTGGGGTCCTGAGACTCTGGGCCTGCGCAACAAAAACACTGATTCAGCTGGTACCATGACTCAGATTGACATCTGTCAATTATCTGTCTCTTTCTGTCTATCTCTTTCCCCCTTCCTTTTCTCCTTCCTTGACTTTGGTCTCCTCCCACACTCTGCTGAGCACTAGCCACACTGTTCTCCTGATTTTCCTGGAGCCCAGTCAAACACCTGTAAACTGTCTGGTGAGTTCTGTGGAACTCTGAAAGCACCAAAGGGTGAGCATAAAAGATTCCCCTCTCTCTACTGTGCTGTTCTTTGCTTTAGTCTTTAAGCCATTGAAAGGCCTCCCCCCAAATTACTGGGACCCTGTCAGCCTGTTAAAAACCATAGGGTGGTCACTGGCCTAAAGTCTCAGGGATAGGCTGTGTGGTGTAGAGGGGAAGAAACTTCCATCTCTTTGAGGGGGAACATTGTCCTCTCTTGTACCACTTTCTGTTTCCACTGTGACCATCCATCTTAGTCACGGGTCCCTGTGTGTGAACACAAGAACCGAGGAAGAGCTCGCCTGGCGTCCTAGGACTTGGGGCCTGCTCCAAAAAAACTCTTATTCATTATTCATAATCATGTCTTTTTTTACTTGGTGGAAAAATATTTGAATATCTCTTGTTTTCTGTGCTGTAGATTTTCTGTAAACAAACAATAAAACTAAATAGATGCTGGAAGATTTTCTATCATGCATGTTTCCAAATTTAAACCTTTATTTTTTAAATTACCTTAACTGTCATAACATAATATAGATACTTTTTTTCTATACTATCTTAACAGTGATGATTTTTAAGTAGTAAAATATATTTCATTTTTATTGGGTCTCTGATTCTTTTCTAAATCACTAACCTTTTTATTTTCATTGTGTTTCTTTAATATCATTTATCATTTTACTAATGGATGAGTTGAAATTCTTGGAATGTAATTCTGTAGCATCTTCTTATTTGTATCAGTTGATTTACATCTTTGGTGTATTATTGCATATGGTTTTACTCTATTAACAAATTGTTTTGAACTAGTCATTAATTATATGAATTATTATTCCATTAATTATAACTCACAAGAAGTTATAAAATAGCATGGAGAGGACTCTTCATTCAATTTCCCCAAAAGTAACACCTATACCACCTTTAATAGCAGAATTTTAAAGCCAGAAAATATATGATAGGAAAATCTAGACTTTATTCAATTTTAGCAGTGATTCATGGACTCATTTGTGTGTGGAAGGGTAGGGGGGGAGAGATGAGATGTTCAAGTAGGTGTGTAATGATAGCTCATTGTAGTTTAAATATGTATTCCTTAAGAGCTTAATGATGTTGAACATATCTCATGAGATTATTTACTATCTGTACATGCTCTTTGGTGAAATGTCTGTTTATGTCTTTGCCTGTTATCTACTTAGAATATTACCCTTTTGAAATATTTGAGTTTTGAAAGTTCTTAATATAATCTATATTAAATTCTTCTGTCCTTCTGTGAGATACACTTTGTAAATATTTCTCCCAGTCAGCTGTATGTTTCTTCACACTGTTAGCATCATATTGTGCATAACAAAAAATTTAAATTTTGATGAAGTCCAATTTGTCATTTTTTTCTTTTATGAGATTACAAATTTCTAATATTGAAGAATGCTTCATCTAGCTCTAAGTACCAAGGAATTACTTCTTCATTTCTTCTAAAAAATTTTACTGTTTACATTTTTTTTGTATAATGAGTTACATTTAAGTCAAGGATTTAGGTTTATTTTGTTGTTGTTGCTGGGTTTTTCCTTTTTTTTTTTTTTTTTGCCTATGCTATTCAAATGCTCCAGTAACATTTGTTGAAATAATTATCCTTCCTTCATTGAAATATTTATAACATTGTCAAAAATCAGTTTGCTGCATTTCGGTGGGCATATCTCTGTGATATTATTATTTTCTATTTATAATCATGTGTATATCCCTCCACCAATGTCACATATCTTGACTAACTGAAAGAGCTGTAAGTCTTATAATATTTTTTCACATTTTATTCCTTTTCACATTTTATTCCTTTCAAAATCATTCTAAGCTCTCTAGTTCAAATGCATTTCCAAATCCTTGTTTGAATTTTGATAAGATTTGTGTGCATTTACAGATCAATTTAGAAAGAAAAGACATCTTTAGCATTGAGTCTTCCAATCCATGAACACGATGTATTTCCTCATTTAGAAAGATCTTTTATTTCTTTCATCAGCATTGAGATTTCTAGCATATACTTCTCCACATGTTCTGATAGATTTTTAGCTATGTATTTCATTTTTGATTGATTATAAATAACATTTGTATCAATTTTAATGGTCATGTTAATTGCACATATATAAAAACAAAATTTTAACATGTTGATCTTATATCTAGTGAAATTGCTAACTCACTTGCTATTTCTAAGAAGTGTTGTTCCCCATCTTAGGGAAGAGCACTAAGTCTTTCAGAAATAAATATGGTATTAACTATAGGTGATTAGAAAATTTTTAAAACTACATTAAGACTGTTCTCCATTAGTACGGGCCAGAGCAATAAGATGAGAGAAAGACATACAAGGAATGCAAATAGAAAAAGAAATAAAACTATCACTATCTGTAGACAATATGAAAATATACACAGAAACCCTAAAAACACTATAGAAAAACTAATCAATAAGTAGCAGGATACAAATCAACACATGAAAGTCAGTAGTCTTCCTATATGCAAACAATTAATCTGAAGAAGAAGAAATTAAGAAAAACATCCCTTTTATAATTGAAGCAAAAAAATCAAATACTTGAGAATAAACCTAACGAAAGAGGTGAAGGACCTATACAAAAAAAAACCTATAAAACATTATTAAAAGAAATAGAAGAAGACACAAAGAAATGGAAAGACATGCCCTGCTCAAGGATTGGAAGAATTAACATTATCAAAATGGCCATCCTACCAAAATCAATTTACAGATTCAACACTATGCCAATAAAAATCTCAATGACTATGCCATTGCAGAAAACCATCAAATATCCTAGGAAGAAAGCAAGAAGAAAGGAAAACAAGAAATACAAAATAGCCTATAATATATTTCAATGGCATGAAGACATACTTATCAATAATTACTTAAATGCAACTAGATTAAATTCTCCTGTCAAAAAGACATGGTGTGGCTAAAAGGATAAAAAAAAAAAAAATCAATATGCTGCAGAGACTCGTTTCAGATATAAGGATGCACAGAGTCTGAAATGGAAGAAATGCAAAAAATATATCATACAAATGGAAACCAAAAGAAAGTTGGATAGCTATACCAATAGTAGACAAAACAGACTTTAAGACAAAAATGGTCATTATAGGATGAAAAGGAAGCAACGCGAAAAGAAATTGTAATATTCGTAAATATGCACCCAACACAGGAGCACCTAAATATGTAAAACAACTGCAACCATACTTAAGGGGAGAAATAGATGGCAAAGCAACAAATTAGGGGCTTCAATACCCATTTTCAACAATGAATAGATCATACAGATTAAAAAAATCAATCAAGAAATATGGGGCTTACAATACATGTTAGACTTAATGGACTTATTATAGGACAGTCCATCCAACCACAGCAAAATATATCCTCACAAGCAAACAAGAAACATTCTGCAGGATAGACATATAGAATATTTTTATATCCCATTTACTTTTGATGAATAGTTTCACTGCATACAGCATTCTAGGTTGATGGGTTTTTTTTTTTTTCCCCAAACCTTTATTTCATTTCATTCTCTTGATTGCATAGTTTGTGAAGAAAAGTCTATTGTAAATTGTCCTTGAGTTTCTGTATGTAAGATTTCACCACCTGTGGCTTCCTTTAAGATTCTGTCTTTGTTTTTGACTTGTCATTTTAAATATGATAATCCTGAATTTAGGGTTTTGTTACTGGTGTTATATTGTTTTTTATCCTTGTGGGTATTCTCTGAGCTTCCCAGATCTGTGGTTTTGTGTCTGGTATTAATTTTGGAAAATTATCAGCTATTATTATTTCACTTATTCCTTCTCTTTTTTCTCCTCCACTGATATTTTCATTATGCATTTATTACACCTTTATAATAATGTACATTTTTTTAGATATTCTGTTCCAATTTTTTAATTTTTCTTCTTTTTCCATTTGAGAAGCTTCATTGACATGACTATCATTGAAAATTTTCTTAATCTGTCCATTCTACTGATGAATCCCATTTAGTTTACAGTTGTCATGTGTGCTAGTATATCTACATTCTTTGAAAACCACCCAGAAAATGTTATAATTTTTTAGCAGTCATATGTATTTTAAAATAAATTAGTCTTTTTACTCATATGTTTATGATTTCTTTTACTTCTCCTTTACCCTCCAAGTTTTCCTCTAGTTTCATTTTATTTCAAATTAAAGAGATGTTTCAATCAGAGTATCTATGACTCAATTTTATTCTTGAAGAATACTTTCAATGGATAATGAGTTATGAGCTGACAGCTGTGTTCTTTCAGAAGTCTAAAGATTTTTTTCTAGTGTCATCTGAAACCATGGTTTCTGATGAGAAATTCACAGTCATAGGTATTACTGCTCCTATCAATACTACTTTAACATTTATATTTGAATAAACCAAAATTTATATCTCTTATGTGTCTATTATGTTGCATGTTTTATCTCATAGTTTTGGGTTATGTTCATTGCCGATGTAAAACTTTTATCTTTGCTTTAAGTACTTTGCCTAAGACACTTTTCTTCTCTGTATGATATTATCCTTCCTTTAAGAATGCTAGATCTGGGGGCTCTCTGGTGGTAGAAGGGGTTAAGTCTCAGCACTATGAAGCTTTGGGCAGCCACCACAGCATGAGTTCGATCCCTGGTCAGGGAGCTACCCACAAAGTACAGCAACCTCTCCTGTTTTGCCCACTGTTCCCCTCAGCAGTATAGTTCAGGTAATCCGCCTGTTCTGCTCCCCCACTCTGTCTCTGGTGAATTCTCTTAATCGCCCCTCCCTGCCCACACATACCTCTGTCCTACACCCCAGTTCTTGCATTCATAAATAAATCTTTAAAAAAATAATGCTAGGTAATTAGATACAGTTCTGACTAACTATATTAGTCTAATTAAAGATTAAATAAACTCCTGACTAGGCTATAGAAATATAGGAAGTCCCTCATTCCAAACTTTTACCTTAACAGAGATATCAACTGAGAATATGTGATCTTCACCTCTAATCCTCTTCCCAGAACATTCTAAACCCCAAGTATTTTTTTTTACAGAGCATCATAATAGTACTGATTTTTTTCTGTTTTTTACAAAATTTCTGCTTGCTTTTAATCTCTTAACTTCATGAATTAGCAAATGCATTGAGTGAAAACACAACCAAGTGTTTTGTCATATATTTACCTCTCTTTTCCCTCTGATATACTGCCCTAGCACATACCATAATTTTTGTCTAAGTTTATAAATCTTTCAAATTTATGATGGTTTCTTGTCATTTTATTGATACTTTTTAAAAAAGATTTATTTATTTATACAAGAACCAGGGTACAGGCCGGATGTGCGGGAGGGTGAGAGAATTCACCACAGACAGAGTGGGGAACAGAACAGGCAGACTGACTGAAATACACAGCTGAGGGGAGCAGCGGGTGAGACCGGGTCTGCCGCACCATGTGGGCATCTCCCCAGCTGGCCGGGATCAGACCCACACTGCAGAGGCTACAGACAGTTTCACAGTGCTGCGCTCAACCACCTGTACCATCAGGGAGGCCCTTATTGATACTTTTTGCTAAGAACCTTTGCCCAAATTTTCAGCTTCTCACTAATATCAACAATTAGCAAACATACTTGGAAACAGGTAACTGCAGAAAGTTGAGTCTCCTCTCAAGTACTTGCCTTAACTCAGAATTTTGGCATTTAATTTCTTGTTGACCAAACAATTCTTTGATGCCTTTAAATAAATATTTTAAAATTTTAGTCAATTTTTCTAATTGGTCTTATCAGGACAATGGGTCTGCCATTCGCTACCCCATTGTAGTTAGAAGAAGAAGATTTATTTTCTTTTACTATTTCAGTTGCTCATTCATTTGGTTTACAGTTCTACTTCTGTTCTCCTGTATTTAACATCAGTTTTTGCTCAGAGAGATGAATGTTTACATATTTACCCTAAAGGAGGCATCATTATGTACTGTTAGATGGATTTCCATTCCATTTTTTGATGTCTATAAAAAGGCAGACATGCCAATTCAGGAACACAAGATAACGTTGACTTAGTACAGGCAACTGGTTCTGTCTTTTAGTTGTGTCTCACTTTAATATAGAATATACTTTTAGGTTATGAATCACGTCACTGTTTTTCTTTAGTACATTATGAATTTTTAAACAGTCATATTGCAAGCTATAATTATAATATTTCTGTCCTTAATATGAAAGGCAAAACTATGGTTTATGCTTCTTTTACATGTCCAATAATTTCTAGAAGGATATGAACACTTAAAGGTTAGTAGATAAATAATTATTACTCGATAAAGAAATGCATTGTTGGGCTAAGTTGTAAAAATCTATATATAAAGATTGTATTTACCCAGCATAATCTTCATTGATCCCAGCAAATGGTATGGAATTACAGTGTACAAAAAATAAAAAAATAAGCAAGATAATTGTTACAGCAGATGTAATTATTATAAATCTCATAAGGGCTTTACAAGACATTTCTAACTTGGAAGCAATGACACCTCCCAGAAACCGGCCAATTGCACCTCCTGGAATTAAAATTATTCCTAAGAGAAATAAGGAGGAAAAAACACAGTTAGAAAATAATCAGCTAAAATAACACAGAAATAAGTTAGAAATATAGTATAGAAAGTTCACACATCGACACAATCCCATTGCTCTAAATATACAAAAAAATAGATTTAAACAATGGGCCTCCCCGGTGGCGCAGTGGTTGAGCGCTGGGTTGCGAAGCTGCCCGCGGTCTCTGCGACGCCGGTTCGAGCCCTGGCTGCTCCCCGGCCACCTGAAGAGGGTCCCACATGGCGCGCAGACCTCTCCTGCCGCCCGCTGCTCCCCTCAGCAGTGTACTTCGGTCCTTCTGCCTGCTCTGCTCCCCGCTCTGGCTCTGGTGAATTCTCTCACCCTCCCGCGCTTCTGACTGTACCCAGTGCTTGTATAAACAAAACAAACAAACAAATAAATAAATAAATAAAATGCCTCTATAACAAAAAAAAAAAAAAATTTAAACAAAAAGACAGAAAACTTAAAGACTTGATACATATCTCATCAAACTTGAACTTTAAGAGAAATACATATTTATGTGTGGGGCTGAAGTAACGTGTCTAACAGACTACAGGGCAGTGATGATGAAGCATTTTGTTCCTATATGGTAAAGACATCTAAGATAAACCCAGAACTTAATCTACACTGAAGAGAAGATGAGAAATGTTTTTATTCAGAGCCATTATTGGATAGGTGCCTGGATTTGCAGTTTAGATTAAAATGCATGCCCATACAGATAAGAGTTCACAAAGATTGTTTACCAAGAACCAGACTAAACCACCATTGTGTATGGATATGCAATGTTAATCATCTCACAACAAAGTGGGATCCAGAATAGCCATTATGAGAAACAGTTTTCTTTTCAATCAAGTATAAGTTTACTATTAGAAAGGAACAAGCACAAGAAGGAAGTAAAAAGAGCATGAAGAAAAGAAAAAGTGCAATCAGAAAATAATTATGTGAAGATAAATTCTTACAGATTAAATTCATATATTGATGTGATCGCCTCTGTTGCAAATACGCATAGGTTTGAAAATAGTAATCTAGGGAGAGAAACTTGCAAATAAGTAATTTTAGATTGCTCAAGAAGACAAATGACAGAGAACTTTGCATGAAAATTAAGGAAAGTAATGAATGAAGAGAAGGGGTTAAAAAAAAATGAACAAGAAGAAAACCTGGATATTAAAAAAATGCAATTATTAAAGTAAACTCTCCAGACTATAGACATTTGAAAAGTGAATTAACAAACTGGAAGAGAGCATTGTGTGATTAATCCAATATGTAATAAAAAAGAAACAGGACTGAAAGAATAATTAAAATAAGCAGTTAAGAAACAGTGAATATGGTGCGCAGACCTCTCCTGCAGCCCGCTGCTCCCCTCAGCAGTATACTTCGGTCCTTCTGCCTGGCTCTGGTGAATTGTCTCACCCTCCCACGCTTCTGATGTACCCAGTGCTTGTATAAATAAATAAATCTTAAAAAAAAAGAAACAGTGGATAAATGTGAAGAAATCTGATAAACTATCTTAGATGCTTAATAGCAAAATAAAAAATAGTAAGTCCTCTTAATAGTATGTACCTTTGATAAAATGTGATAAAAGTGATATTATACCTTTGTGGTCTTCCTTCCAAAATCTATAGCTCCTGTTTAACCATAAGAAAACAAACTCAGACAATTCTCAATTAAAGATCATTCTTTAAAAACACCTGAGCAGTGCTCCTCAAAACTGTCAAAGTCATAAAAAACAAATGAAGACTGAGGTGTTGCCAAGACGAGCTTAAGGAAACATGACAACTAAATATTGTGTATCCCAAATGAGATCCTAGAACAAAAAACTATAGTATAGAAAAGCTAAGGAAATCTGAATAAAATACTGACTTTAAAAATAATGTGTTGATATTGGTTTATTAATTGCAACAACTCTACCATTCCAGTGTAAGATGTTAACAAAAGAGGAAACTAGGTAGGCAGTAAATGGAAACTCTCTATTCTATCATCAGAGATTTTTTTGTAAATCCAAAACTGTTCAAAAACTTATTTAATTAAATAAAAAATGACAGGGAGTAGGATTAAAATCTCAACAAAATGTTTCACAGCACTTATGAGAAATATAACAAATGGAATACCAGAAAAATGATATTTGAAAAATTGCAGTTAAGAATGAGAAATAATTAAAGAAATAATAGTCCTGGGAGCAAAATTCCATGCTAACTACTGAGAAAGATTAAAAAATAAATAACAAAATCTATCTTTAGACATAAATAAGACAGGGAAACCTCATAACATCAAGAATAAAGCAAAAAATTGTAAAACCTGCCAGAGACCATGTTACTTGAAAAAGAATGATAATTACAGCTAGAGAGTTTCACAATACAATAGCTGAGCCCTTAAAGACCAGCCTAAAAGGAAACAAAACAGGAAAATTCAATACACAGAACTTTCAATCAACTTTTTATGCAAATATTTTATTAGTGTACAGAATAGTACTCAAATCACAATTGTATACATATTGAAAAAGTTTCAAACTGAACATATCTACCTAAGTGTCATCCAGTTTAAAAATAAAACATTACCAGAATACCAGAGGCCCTTTCATGCTTATAAGAGGATTTTATAAAATACTGATCATAAAATATGCATACATAATAGCTTGTTTTGTTCAATATGATGTTTAATAACTCATTCATATTTTTATATATAACAATAGATTGTGCTTTCTCAACGCTGAGTAGTGATTCGATTATATGTATATAGCACAACTTCTATTTTCTGTGATGTGATTTGGGCTGCTATTTTAAAATTTCATGTACATGTCTTTTTGTAAACATTTGCATTTCTGTTTGGTATATTCAAGAAGCCCATTTAAAACCAAAAGACAAAAGCAAATTTTAAAAATGTTGGAGTAATACTTGCAATACATGCAAATAATTCAAATATCAAAGAGGAACTGCTATGTACATAAAAGATAAACTAGACTTTCAACTAGAAGTGACAAAGACAAAGATGGATACTATAGAATGATCGTGGGAACAATTAACCAAGAAGACATAACTGTTATTGATATTTATTCACCTAATACAGGAACACCTAGTTACATAAAGTAACTATTAACACCTCTAAAACAACATGTCAACAAAAATACACTCATTATTGAAGACCTTAACAGACCACTGACATGAAGGGATCTTTCAGACAGAAAATTAACAAAGAAATAAGGATCTTCAATGAGCTGTTTGAAGAGTAGGATTTACTGGACATTTAGAAAGTAAAATTTCAAATAAACTAACTCTGCAGCTGAAGAAACTAGAATTACAGGAACAACAGCATTCAAAAACCAGTAGCAGGAAAGACATAATAAAAATTCAAGCAGAAATAAATCAAATAGAAAACAAAGACAGTCCAAAATATCAGTGAAAGAGTTGGTTCTTTGAAAAAATAAACAAAATTAGCAAGACTTAGGAAGAAGAGAAAAGAACCCAAGTCATTAGAAATGAAAGAGGCAAAATTACAACAGATACTGCATATTACAAAAGTCTCTATGCAAACAAACTGAACAACCTAGAAGAAATGGACATATTTTTAGACACGTACAGCCTCCAAAGATTGAATCAGCATGAAACAGAGAAGTTAAACAGTGCAACCACAAGTGCTAAATTAAAAGGGAAAAAAAAACATCTCCTTAAGAAACTATAAACTGAAAACAACAAAACTCTGTTAAAAGAAATAAAGAAGACACAAAGAAATAGAAAGATATACCATATTGATTGATCGGAATAATTGACATTACTAAAATGGCCATATTACCCAAATAATTTACAGATTCAATGCCATACCTATCAAAATACAAATAACATTTTCCAAGGAAATAGAACAACTACCAGATTATCATGGAACCACAAAATAGCTCAAGCAATCCTCAGGGAAAGAAGAAATATTGAGACATCATACTTCCTGACTTCAAACTATATTATACAACAACAGTAATCAAATACTATGGAACTGGAACAAAAACAGAAATTCACACCAATGGAATAGAAAAGAAAATTTAGAGAAAAACTAGAAATAAACCCACACAAGTATGGACAGTTAATAGTTAACAAAGGAGCCACAGCCAGACAGTGGAGAAAAGACAGCCTTTTAATAAACAGTGCTGGGAAAAATAGATAACATAGAGGCATACAAACAGTAAAGATGTACAAATGTATAGGAAGGATGTATTCTAACTTTAAAAGAGTGGTTACCAATGGGAAAGGGGTGGGCATCGGGGGCGGGGGGGGAAATGAGTGCTCACATGGAGGGGAGAGAGTGCTCACAATATTTATTGTGTTTGAAATATTGATACAATAATGACAAAGTGCTCATACTTTTAAAAGCTGAGCAAATGGTATTTAGGTATTCAAATTTTAAGCAAACGCAATTACTCCCACTTCTGCTGACATGGACATAGTTCATTAATTCATATAGGAAAACTTCATAAAAATCTCACAATTAGTACAATTAGCAAATAAATCTACCTGTAAGTGTGGTTGCCTCTTGAGGTGTTAATATAAACTGACTTTCAATATATCTAGGCAAAAATTCAGCACCTGCAATAAGAACTAAAGATTCTGAAGCTCTGCACAGAGCTAGGAACAAAAAGATTGGAGTTTTCAACAGAATCTGAAATAGAAATAAGTTATGCATGATTATTTCATTTTAATAGAGGAACAGATATACCAGTGCTAATATATATACCATATATTAATGGCCATATATTAATGATATAACAGATATACCAGATGTTAATTACCTGTCCACAAATATTTGATCTTTCCCCAATCTAAACTGACGTTACATATATTTAAAAATCCAAACAGAAATTTATAATTCACTATATAAAGGTTTTATAGCATGTGTATGAACCATTTTTATTTATAATATGATTTATAAAAGTACAAATTAATTACCCAACAATGTACCCATAATTTTAGTTTGTGGGTAGAGAGGTTTCTAGAAAGAATAGGGAAAATAGATGTCATTAATCAAGTAACCAGAATTTCCCTTTACTTTTGTTTGTCTCTTCTTTCTTAGTAAATCTTTTTATTTAACTAAAAAGCAAAGCAAAGACAATAAAAGCAGCAATCAAGATTTCAGTCAAGATTATATATTTTCCTCCTAGGAATTCCATATATATATATAAAAATGAAGCCATTTAAATTCTGTCTTTTAAAAATTAATTAATTAATGGTAACATAAATTATAGATTTATCAATGGTAACATTGGTTTACAACTCTGTGTATGATTCATCAGTTCTCACACCACACCTACCACCAAGGCACCCATAGTCTTCCACCACAGTCCATTGGGTCCTATTCCCATCATCCTTCCCCCTATGGTAGCCTCACATTTATGAATTTTAGTACAATTTTTCAACATATTATGATATATAATGATAGTTTACTATTACCTGTTATACTTTTATACACAATACAGAATAAATTATATTACAGAAAATTATGTCAAAATAGTAATTTTCAAATTACTACATTTTCTGAAAATATTTAGTGGCATTTTTTGAAAATATTTAGTGGCATTCTAAGTTTTATAAATATATATATAAATGCTTATATATATTTATAAATATAATTCAAAATTTATTTTCCTACTCTTTTCATTTAAATTTATTGATTTGCCAATTATTTGCATAACTATATAATTAGGGGGACATACAACTTCACACCTCTATATGTGCACATGCTTTACTCACCTTTCATCAACATTCTAGTACCAGTATTATCTTCTCTCTCCTATCCCTTCCATCTTGCACCCAACAGTGGGGTAATCAGTATAATTTTTAGAGTCTAAGAATTATTTTGCCAGTTTGTTTTTAGATCTTTTCACACTGAAAATTAATGAAACCATCCACTGTCTTTCACTTCCTGACTTATTTCACTTAGCCTAACCATCTTAAGATTCATCCATTAAATCACAAGAGGTCCTGTATCCTTTTCAATAATGGTGTTGTATTCCACTGCATATATATTCCACAATTTATCTAGTCATCTGTTGATGGGTATTTATGTTGGCTTCATGACTTAGCTCTTATGAATAATGCTGCTATAAATATAGGGGTGCATATTTTTGTATTTGTGTTTTCATATTCTCTGATGTCAATGTGCTGGGAGGTGTTGGCTTGTGTTTGTAGCCCCTTCCATATCCCTCCCCACCAGCACATCAGACCCTAGAATCTTCAGTCTGTATGCTGTTTGGGGGCTTCACAAGGTCAGCACCAATCTGGGGGGGTGGAGAAGGAGGCATGAAGCTCATCACACTGTCATTCTTTACACCGGGGACCCAGCCTGGAAGAATCACCAGCACCTCCACACAGTTTCATTCACTCAACAGTTTGTGTCTCCAACTGCTCAGCCTTTCCTGCCTCAGTGCTGCCACCAAATAGCAGTACTGCAATATTTATGGCAGCCTCCCACCTCCTATCTAGCCTCCAGTTATTTATTTCCATCCATCTCTTAATGAATCTCTTCAGTGTCACCTACAGAGCAGTTTGTGCTGGTCTCTGATATCCAATAGGTGCTACAGTTTCATACTCAGTCATAGGAGGCTCTGGATATCGTGTTGGTCTGGTTAGCTTTCAGATTATCTTCCCAGATGAAATAACCTCTTTTAACACCATGTTTCTTCTATCCTGGGAAATATCTGTATCTGTAGAGTAAACACTTATATTTCAAAATACTTGTCTTCAGAATGTGTTTCTCTCAAATATTAAAATAGTAGATCCTGAGAACTGTGGTTTGAAATAGTCCCAAATACAAATACTCTTTGAGGTTACAGCAGGTCCAATCCTTCAGCTCCATGAAGACTGCCTTTCTGTTCTCCCTCCACACTCTACCAAACTCTTCCCTGTAGCCAACAATGCTAAGTGCAGCTTCCAGCATATGGTCATGGGTGGCAATAAATAAATGTTTGAATAGCATGATATTTACATCAAATGAATGTTGATTATATTTTCTACCTAGTAAGTTAATTTCTTTCAAAGGTAATTAAATACTTGACTCCCAATAGTAAATATCTAAGTAATTAGGACACTAGCTTCCTAAGATCTGGGCTGTTATCCATTAGCAGTCTCACCGCAATGAATAACACCTCATATTTGTTTGATCCTTTCAAACTCACAAAGTTCTTTCATAATATAATATTCACTGACATCTTTGTTCAATGGCATTCTAGTATATAACTGTCTTCCCAGTTAATAACGTATGAGACTTAGGCATGAAATGAAGTAAAATAAAAAGTGTTATAGTCTCCGCCTTACATATTTAAATGTATCTTTCCCCTTATAAAATATCATTCCATACTTGCTTTTAGTCAGTTTTAATTTCACTTTTCTTTCCATCATGTATTTCCCTAGACTCTAATAATTAACTTTTTATCCTTTCAAAATATATTTCTAATTCATCATATTCTTATATCTACAGTGATAGCTGTTGTTCTTATTCACTGTTCTACTTTCCATTTTCTAAGCTAAATCCACTCTACTTTTACATTATAACATTTCACCTCATAGATACTATAACTATAAAAATGTTAAATATTTTTTCTCCAGGGCCTCCCTGATGGCACAGGCAGTAGAGCACAGTGCTGTGAAGCTGTCCACAACCTCTGCAGTGCCATTTCGAACCTGACCAGCTGGGAGATACCCACATGGCATGGCAGACCTCTCCTGTCTCACCCACTGCTCCCCTCCGCAGTGTATTTCAGTCAGTCTGCCTGTTCTTTCCCCCCTCTGTTTCTGGTGACTCCTCTCACCCTCCCGTACATCTGGCCTATACCCCAGTTCTTGTATGCATGAATAAAATCTTTAAAAAAATATTTTTCCTCTGTTCCATATTGTATCTTTTACCTCACTTCAGTCCATTTTATCTATTTTAAAATATAAAAATTATTTTTACTGACATTTCATAAAAATTTCTTCCCTTTATGAATTTGCTATACTATTTGATTAACTAATATACATTAATAATACAGAGAATCCATTCTAAAAATAACTAGTTCTCTGGCTCTCTTTAATTAAAATAAAGTTTTTTTTTTTTAAATCTATGTCTGAAAAATCAGGTGGTACGTATTTCAATAAGATATTAGTCAATAAGTCATATGTTGATGGTGATCCATTTTACTACCTGGAATAATTTTCTTGCTAGAATGACTTTCTACATTCTTTATATTAGGGGTTTCACAACAGTCATTGAACTTCAAACAAACAATATCAATTAAGTCATGAACTAGGAGGTGTTGAACTAAAGAATAGTGAAGGAATATAATAGAACTTTATTCAATTAAGTTCCTCACACTAGTGTTTCTAATTTTCATATTTTCTAGTTGATAAACTTCTTTTCTTATTAAGATAAGTCTTGTTGTAAAGTTTTCCCTAATTATTTTTGGACAGTTTCCCTCCTTAATCTAAATTCAGAAATATCCCCAGTAAGCATTCATATCATTTACATATTTATTGGTTTTTACTATATTTATGCACTAATCTATAAACTTTACATTCTTATAAGAAAAGTACATGGATTAATATGTCCATTCTACTAAGAAATTCATCTTTGGCATGAAACAAGGCAAACAATGGAGATTTCTTTAATTTAGTAGATTCACTAAATAATGACTTTTTATTCTTCTGTTGTTTTTCTGTGATTCAACCTGAGATAATGTTACAGGCAAGAGCCTAAATACATGGACTTTTCTTTTGGATATTATGTATCTATCAGTTATCTAGATTTTAGAACAATCATTTCCCTTTAGCAAGTTAAAATGATTATTTTATGTATGTATGTATGTATGTATGTATGTATTTAGTTATGGTTCCAGAAGCTCAGATCATATTGCTACTGGAAGGTTTTTTTTTTCCCTCTGATACAAATAATTGTTGGTAGCCTTTGTTTTTATAAATGCCAAGTGGTTCTTTAATTGGGTCAAATATACTAAACTGAATAAAAAAGTCAAACCATTTCTTGTACCCAAGGAAGAACTTCCTAAAACAACACTAATGTTATTCTACCTTTTAAATTCTTTTTAATTCTCATCAATTTTTGTACTGTCATGTTTAAAAGTTCTTAAAACAAAATTCATATCATTTATGTTATTTCCTTAATTAAAATACAATAAGGACTTTCTATTGCATTTAGAGTGAAGTCAAAAGTTTTTACCATATCCCACAAGTATGAGCTAGCATTTGCCTCCCTCTCCATCTTATGATTCTTTTTTTTAAAGATTTATTTATTTTTATTCAAGAATTGGGTCACAGTCTAGAGGCACAGGAGGGTGAGAGAATTCACCAGAGACAGGCAGGGAGCAGAACAGGCAGATAGACTGAAAGCACTGCTGAAGGGAGCATCAGGCGAGACAGGCAAGGTCTGCCGCACCATGGGGGTATCTCCTTGGCCAGCCAGGAATTGAACCGGTGCTGCAGAGGCTGTGGACAGCTTCACAGCACTGAGCTAAACCTGCTGTGCCACCAGGGAGGTCCTTCAACCTATGATTCTACCATTCTCCTCACCAACAATTATGTTCCAAACACTCAGGTTTTCTCTGAAGTGAACATTCCCAAAGTCTTGTTGCCTCAAGTTCTTTCCACATGTGTCCTTTGAGCTTGGAACTTTTT